CGGGCTCTGTGCTGTCAGCTCAGAGCCTGGAGCCTGCTTCAGATTCTGTCTGTCTCTCTCTCTCTCTCTGCCCTTCCCCTGCTCGCACTCTGTCTCTCTCTCTCTCTCTCTCAAAAGTAAATAAAACATTAAAAAATTTTTAAGATATTATCTAAGCTCACATGCAAAAGCATGTATATGTTGTTACCAAACAAATGCCACGCAGAGTTAAGTGCACAATGAAGGACGACTGGAGATGGGGCCTAAAATAGGGACTCAGGGGACCAACATAAAGCAGGTCTTGCTTTGACAACCGTATCTAGTGGGCAAATACCTGAGCACTTTACCACCAGGCACTGTACTAGAGGCTTCATGTCTTAAATTACCGCTACTCCTTATTATATGTGCTGCCAAAGTGAGCACTACCATGACTCCTTATAAGAACACTGTGAAAAGGGTGCATTGGTCAGAATCCAAGCAGGAAAAAGAAACCTTCTACATATTTATCACAGAGTGGATTTAAGATGGACAGTTGGTAACAACGAGAATATAAGATAGTAAATTGATAACACAGGGAATGCAAGAGCTGAGATGCCAAAAAAGATGGTGAGACACCTTCCTATTGGTGGGGGAAAGGAAAATAGAATTACAAGAGCCCAGAGGGAACCAGAACCACAGAGGAGACACAGTTACTTCTGGAAATGCCCGCCAAGGCAGTGAGACTGTGGGAAAAAAAAAATACCCTGGTATCTCTCTTTCTCCTGCCCTCCATTCTCCCACGAGTGCCTCCCTCCCATTGGCCAGGAAACAGATAAATGCACTTGCAGGGTCAGCCTCTTGCAACATAGAGCAGAGCAGAGCAAAACAGAGCAGAGGACAATCAGACCAAGATCAGACGCAGAAGGTGTTATGATGCCCATTTTATAAATGTAGATACAGACGGTCAGTGGGCTGTGGTTTACCCAATTAGTAACTGCAAGATAGACATTAGTATTCAGTCTAGACTTCAGTGTTCACCAGGAACTGTACTAGATGCTTCATGTCTATAATTGCCACTTCGTAGGGCACCACTGGGAGAGGTCCGTCCCTGCAGTCCACACCTTTCTGTGACTATTTACTTCTTCCCTGTGCACTAGACTGAACAACAAAGGGAAAGGTCCTCAGTGACCTGGGATGCTCCTGGTTTGCAGAGTCAGACCGAAACCCTGGCCTGTTCAGACCTGTCCAGCAATAAGATATTGATCTTCTGAACACTGCAGACCATGCTTTAGGGCAGTTGGTTCAACAGCAGCCTAAGGGTGTTTTTCCCAAGGGCTTCGGGATTAAGACTTCTGCAACTCACTTGTCTCTCTTGAGTGTTTCTCATGGGCTCTCAGCTTTGACTTCAGAGTCTGACGTGGTCCGCTGGCTGTACACAGGCCTGTGTTTTCACTACGAAGTCTGTCTAGCACAGAGTATGGCACCCATTACATTTCATCAATTAATGAATGCTGGTCCAAACTGATTAACTCCGTGTCCCCTGACATTGATATTAACCGTCCTCTGTGGTTAACACTTGAATCTGTGCTCTGTGCCCTGTGCTCGGGCTTCAGGGGCTCCCGGCCCTCTGTGTTAAACATGTCAGCGTCCAAATTCTATTCCTGGCTCTTGATATGATAAATAGTTTCCAAATCACGATACCCACACAAATGCATCTGCCAGGCTATATCCTTGAAGCTTGTCTAAAATCAGCCACTTCTCTCCGTACACTGCCCCTTGAATTCAGTGTGCACCAAGTAGTAACTGCTTGTTGATGGGTTGCTGACGAGCACGGTCTCCCCATTGCTCTTCTTTACAAGCTTGCATGCTCTCCCTGAAAATACTGCTTTTATGCATATAATGAATTTACTAAGAAATGTGTCTTTATTGGAGAGAGACAGAAAGAAAAAGAAATGGAAAGGAAGAGGAAAAAAAGCTGATGAAACCATAGAGAAAGACAAAATCAACTCTATTGAATTCTAGATTGCCATCTTGTCAGGATTTTTGCAAGATTCTTCTGCCACTCTTTTAATTTTCATTACTTTCTATTTTCCTTGAATAAGCATAGAAACAGGTTCTAATTTTACCAGAGGCTTTTCATCAAATCAGACTTTTTATTCTCCGTAGGTTATCCTAGTCACAAAACATCTCTCTTTTCAAAGCTTGCATAATATTAGCTAACTCTAGTGGAATATAGTTCTTGAACCCACACAGTGAAGATGCAAACATTATTCTTCAACCTGACTCTAGTTATTTTTCATCACAGAGAGTGACATTCTTAGTCACCAGAATCTTCACAGAACCTCTTGAGTTTTATGAAAAATTTCCTTAATCACTGGCTCCACAGACGTGAACTTTTTGATCATAAAGCAAGTCACATCTCTCTTTCAGTGTTTTGAGAAACTTCAGATTCTTGACACTCCTGTTTCTAATCTGGTCTAATGAAGACTTCTCTACAGCCAAAGGAGACTCGTTTCAAGTAGGATTTGCCACTCCTGTCTGGCACAGTGACCACATTAGCAGGTTATCACTTTCACTGGGGCCACGTGGTGACCCCACTTTACTGGAGCAAAACAGCGGAAGGTTTTCGTGGTGGACTAACTCTCAAAGAGCCGTTCACTGTAAACTCACAGTGTTGGCATCACCATCCTCTTCGTCAAAGAATCAACTGGAAGACATGGGCCAGCACCCTAACCCCAAATCAAATGGTGAGGAGCAAAGGGCTGGCAGACACAATTTGAGGCCTCTCTTTTCTCACTGGTGAGAGAGGTTTCTACGATCTTCTTTCCCCCACCCATGGACAAATCGGCTTTCTTGCACTTCTCTTAGGAAAGGAAATTGGTGTGCAGTTCTGAAATGAAAACAGGTGTGTACTTTGCCGACTCCACATGTAGCTGAACATTTAGAGTCTGTCGTCGGCCTGAACGCTATTGTCGCCGTCCCTTTTAAAACGAAGGTTACAGAGCACCCTTAGAATGAAAAACTTAATGAGTACATACCATTAAGGATTTGCAGTATGTTCACTGCTGGTGGGTTCTAAAGACGTCCTATACACGGTCCTTTCTATCAAAGAGTTCATATTATAATATCACAGTGGAAACTTCATGGACCTGACTTCTGACAGACCTGAACTCTAGTCCAGCTCAGATGCTAACTAGCTGTGTGGCTCTAGGTCCATCAGGGACTTTTCTTCTTGGTTTTCTCATCCGAAAATGGGATACTGACTCCTGAGATTTTTGCAAGATTTTACTAAGATAGTATAAGTTAAGAAAATAAAATAAAAAATTTAAAAAAATAAAAAGAGGGGCGCCTGGGTGGCTCAGTCAGTTAAGCATGTGACTTCAGCTCCGGTCATGACCTCACAGGTCACTAGTTCGAGCCCCATGTCGGGCTCTGTGCTGACAGCTCAGGGCCTGGAGCCTGCTTGGGATTCTGTGTCTCCCTCTCTCTCTGCTCCTCCCGCACTCATGCTCTAAAAGATAGTATAAGTAAGACATCTCTCACAGTAACTGGAGTGTATTAAGTCATCAATAAATATTTGGGAAGATTTGACACATAGGTGTAAAAGAGTATTTTCTGACCAGGTCTGCTAAAGTGAGGGCCAAATTAAGGGTACACCTTTTAAAGTCTTTGAGGGTTCTGAGTGGAAGGAAGATGTGATTAACTAGAACAATCAAGAAAGATTTCAAGAGGCTGAGGTGGAGCCTTGTCAAAAGGAGGGATCTGGAAGAATAGATGTAAAGCAACCCAGGAAAGAACAGCAGCATGATCAAATATGAAAAAAAACTCTTGATTTTGGCTCAGGTCATAATCTCATGGTTCCTGAGTTCAAGCCCCACGTCAGGCTCTGTGCTGACAGTGCAGAACCTGGAACCTGCTTGGGATTCTCTCTCTCCCTCTCTCTCTGCCCCTCCCCCACTCACTCACTCTCTCCCTCTCTCTCTCTCTCAAAATCAATAAATGAACATTTAGGGGCGCCTGGGTGGCGCAGTCGGTTAAGCGTCCGACTTCAGCTAGGTCACGATCTCGCGGTCCGTGAGTTCGAGCCCCGCGTCGGGCTCTGGGCTGATGGCTCAGAGCCTGGACCCTGTTTCTGATTCTGTGTCTCCCTCTCTCTCTGCCCCTCCCCCGTTCATGCTCTGTCTCTCTCTGTCCCCAAAAAATAAATAAACGTTAAAAAAAAAAATTAAAAAAAAATGAACATTTAAAAAAAGAGAACAGGCAAATCTTATTTTTAAAAACAGAAAGAAAGAAGAGGGCCAGAGAACATGAGCCTGGAGAGCTGTTAGTGGTCAGGCTAAGTGTTTTCTCTTTCAAGTAGAAGAGAGACTTTAAGGGTTTGGCACAAGGTGGATGATTAATTGATGACAGGAGCAATGTAGGAAGACAAATCAGGCAGTATATATCAGGAGAGCTTAGAGCCGAACAGGTAGTGGGATACCATTGGAAGGGTCAGGATGTTACATGAATGGAGACAGGAGACAGAAAAGAAGATAAGTGTGTTTCTGGGTATGTGACTCTCCGAAAGAATGTGTATACATTAGGTCATGAACGGATAGGAGTGGGAAGGGAAAAGAAAGGGAAAAGAATTGATCCTGGGCCTTTGCTTTTGCATAACAGGGAAATGGCAGTCACCTTACCACAAATAGGGGAAGAACTGACTTTGGAAAGGAAAGGCTGAACAGAAAAACAGATGGTTCATTGCCCACAATTCACTTCCAGGTGTCCCTTGAGGGTCTGGAATGAAGTGAGAACATAGTTTCAGTGAATTCCAACTGGGTTATATAACATATTTTGAATATGAAACAAAATGTAGCATCTTTTCTACTCATGGCAAGGAGGGCTTTTTGCCAAGCAATGCTGGAACAGCACATCTATTTTGTTGGGCTGAGTCACTGTGCCTTCAGAAACGGTTCTAATCTCAGCTCTGTATGATGGCTGTGGGGAAGTTTACTTCCAGTTTTTTTCTAAATCTCAGGTTTTTTTTTTTTTTTCTCCAAAAGGAATATAATGACATCAACTTGTCCTCCAGTGCCACTGTAACACATTTTGAGAGAAGTTCGCGTATTTGCTGAGAACATGTTCAGGGATCCTCTTTCAGCTGCCCCTGCTTGATTGCTCCCAGAATGCACTGGCTGATGCCTCTATGGCAGGAAGTTTTCACCAGGTAGGACAGGTGCGCCGATGTGTCTGTCTCCCTGAGGAAACAATGAGCTCTTGAAGGCTGAATCCATATTTCTTCATCTCAATAATCCTCGTGGTTAGCACATAGAAAATGGAAGAATGAATTAACGAGTGAAAGGTGTGTTTCATTTGTCTGTAGGATGGGGACCCCTTTAGTTAAAAAGCTGGCTTCTCTGATGGCCTCAGCCTCTTTCTGAGACAAATGCAAGCTAACTGGAAATGGTTGCCTCTTCCTCACACTTTCCAGTTTCTTAATTATATAGCTTCTCAGTGAATGAAAGGATGTAACACTTATGAATTTCAGTGATACCCTTACTAAAGGACAAGTCAAGAAATTAGGATTGAGCTAGGGGAGTACCCAGGTAAGTGATGATGCCATCAAGAGCAAAAGTCAACACGCTTAGAACGTCCTGGCATTTACTGCATTACATATCTTCTTCCAGTAACATTTGCATCTGCATGACACGGACATATGGGCATTTGGGGAGAAACCAAATATATCTTTGCCAAGTGGCTGTTTGAGTTTGTTGGAATATAATGACATGTGCACTTGTGCAGAGTGGGAATGAGTGGGAAGAAGAAGAATGGCAGAGTCAAAAAAACAATTCTTGGCCATACATTTTGAAAACCACTTACAAGACTGAGGAGTGGCATTTTCATACACCATGACGTTTCTTGTTTTTGTTCTGGACTCGGACTGGTCTTCAGCAATGCGTCGGTATACTGATTGGTCTTAGCTTTTCCAACTTCCATTATTTTGTTTTTATATTGCTTAAGCAAGTACTTAGGATGGTCTAGGAATTTGGTATGTAGGGTAAAGAAAATTAACAATAACAAAAATATTTTGCTGCTGTCTTTGCTAATTGATAACGATAGAGAGCAAGACAATTTGCAAATTGGGTAAAAACAAACAAACAAACATGAACTCAATATTTGTGACTTGAAGCCTAAAGAGGATAAGAGCCGCATCATAAACGGGCTAAAACATCTCAAAACTCCCAAGGCCTGTGGGTAGAAGCGGCTTACAAAACTCAAGCTTATGATCTCTTATTAGTTCTGGTTTATGTTTTAACTACAAATACAGATATGTTAATTACAGAAATTATGATAAGACTTGTAGAAGTAGCCAGCAACAATAAAATCCTTTGGCGTCATTTTATTACTTCATTATGTGGGCACTATTCTCAAAATTCAAGCTGGTTCCTGTGTGCCTACTCCATCTCAACATAAAGAATTCTCCACAAGCAAACTGGTATCTGAAATCCCATTCCGAGGCAGCTGAGATGGTCATCAGGAAAGGGGTTGCAAGGTCATGGAAACCTACCCCCAACCTTGATAATAAGGCACTCTAATAGGAAACATATTGGCAAGCTAGAAATGGTATGATGTGTCAGGAGAAGAACAAAAAATAGCTTGGGTAATTTCCACGTTGCCTGGGATCTTATACTGAGAAAAGAATGCAGTGATTTATTCCATTTTTTTGTGGATATCCTACTCCATATTTGGCGCTGTGTTTTACGTTATGGTGTACTGATGGACTCACAGCATAAAAAGCAAGAAACTTGTGTAGCTCATGTGTAATTAACTGTGGAACACAATGGGATATATTGTTGCCTTACAACAGAGGGTCCAAACTGCTATAGCTGTTTGTATCCATATTTGTGTTAGGGTAGGAGTGGAGTCTCAACAGGGAAACAGAAAATATGCAGAATATTTTCAGTGGAAAGAATTTAATACAGGAAATTGGGTACTTATAAAATGGCAGAAGAATTAAAGCTCAGGGTCTGGCCTGAGGGTTCGGGAAGTGGGCCCTCCAGAGGAGCTACTACCTCTAAGGCTGTTTCTAAACTAGAAAAGGTACTGGGATTAAGGAGCTGCTATTGCCCCTGTCACCACTCCACGTGCCCATCAATATTCAGGAAACTGGAAAATTGACAAGCAGTGCCACCATAGATGAGCCTCATGCTTTCAGGGCTTATGTCCCTACAAAAACAGCCCAGGGGCCATTCCCTCCTTCCAAGTCTTACAGGTAGAGATATGGCTGAACTTAATTCACAGGGAAGCGTTGTGGCCATCAGGGAAACTGAGAACAAAATTTCTTCAAACAGAAGAAAAGGGAAATGAAGTCCGAGTGGGCCAATCCTCTGTATTCTCCCATCCAGAGGATTGGGAACTAGCAACTATTTGTGGCCTTCCATGCTCAGACAAGTTGCAGGAACTTTAACTGGAACACGTCAATTAACTTCATAGTGAGAGGAGGAGCAGGTAGTGTTTGACTTAGGCCTAGAAGGGTGGGTGGAGGATTTATGGATGAAGATGTTCTGGATAGAACAGGGTGGATAAACCAGGAGGTAACATTATCATTCCAAGCACACGGATGTGAAAGAAAAGAGCTTATTTGGGCTTACATTGGCAGCTTCTGGTGCCAGCACCACATCTGAGAAAGGTAATGTAAGGCAGTAGAGGTGATGGTGGTCAGGGGTTCAGGACCTCCCTCACTTACAAATGTCACACCCCCCAAGAGGGTTCTAGGACCAAAGAATAGAATGGCCATCTCTCTACTGCTGTGGAAAATCACCTCTCCTTTGAGCCCTAGCTCAAGACTTCATCAAAATCTTACGAATGTCTCTTGCCAAGTTGGTCTCCTCTAGCCTCCAAACTCATAGCATTGACTGCTCCCACCACAAGCTTTGTGAAACATACCTTCCTCATTTTGTTCAGTCATCAGTGGTTGTATAGCAGACTTCTTGCAATGTTTAGTGTTCCTCACCTCCCCCAAAGGGAAGACAACGTCTTCCCTCCTGAGCTTCCTTGGCAGAGGGGACTCCCAACACAATCAACATGACTGTGTGTTAAAGATAGAATTTTGTATTCTTCTAGAGTTTTCTCTTGTTCCCTTTCCCCCCAGTGTCTCTACACCTTTGTTTATGAATTTATGACTTCACAGGATGCTCCAGGCTCTCTGGTGCCCTCTATCCTCTACCCTTGCTGCCCTCTCATTTGCTGTCCCTTCTTTGTGTCCATCTTCACCCTAAGCCAGTCGCGCCTGCTCCCTGCAATTCGCTCTCCACCCTAGTGCACAGGCTCCTTCTTTGGCTCACTTCCCACTCCTTGCATATTTTTATACTTTATCCCATTTGTCTCCTTAATTGGGGTCCCTCGTTTTGTTTGTTTGCTTCTGCCTCTCCATCTGTCACCTTCTGAGCTCCTCCTCGTTGATTTCACTCTATATATGTATGCTGGTTCCATTTTTATTTTTCCTCTCTGCACTTCACTCACTATTTCCCATTATGCACCACTCCCTTCATTCATCCCTGATGTATTAATTTTGGCTTATACAGCCATGTCCACCTCTCACTCCCTTCCAGCGTCGAGGAAGACCAACAGGAGACTTCACTCTCTATCCACTTGGCTCTATCAAAGGCTCGGGACCTTCTGTTAGATGCAAAGTCCCCAATGTCTACCACCTCTATGGCCAGGTCTACTTAACTGTAGCTGTTTTCTATGAAGATGATTCAGCATAGACACAATTTGTTTTGAATTCTAACCCAAGAGAGTTTAACAAAAGGACCTTCATATAGAACTGTCCTGTCTGATTTAGTTCTATGGTTTGCCAGCTGCTTCTGGAGAAGTCTTCAAAGGAAAAGTTCTTCCTTTTAGTCCTGTGTCTGTGTCTGGAGTGTACATACACACACACACACACACACACACACACACACACACAGCATGTGACTTCACCATCCAGTGTGTGTATATGTATGTATGCACACAAATACATATGCATATGCACATATAAACACATATCTAAAGTATATATATGCATCATATATTCATAATTCATATATATTTTATATATGTAATATATATGTGTGATATATATGCATTATATACATAATGTTTATGTATAAATTTCTTGCAGTTGAAATTATGGTAATTGAGTTAACCATTTAGTAAGGACTCTATAATGAGAAAAATAAATAGTCTCTATCATATTCATGATTAGCTATTTAGAGCATAAAAACAAAAAATGCTCTGAAATTTTATCATGCTTTCATAAAGATATTTAAGAAGCTATCTCACATTAATTTTTTTTTCCCCTGGGGCACCTGGGTGGCTCAGTTGGTTGGGCATCTGACTTTGGCTCAGGTCATGATCTCACAGCTCATGAGTTCAATCCCCGCATTGGGCTCTGTGCTGACAGCTCAGAGCCTGGAGCCTGGCTCGGATTCTGTGTCTCCCTCTCTCTCTACCCCTCCTCCACTCATGCTCTGTCTCTCTCTTTCTCAAAAATAAATAAACATTCAAAAAAATTGTTTTCCCTACCAACCAACAGTTTTGTTGTTGCTTTGTTTCTGTATACATTTTCTTTAATCTCACAAAATATGTCTATGAAGTGAGAAGGGAACCAGAAGGGCAGAATGGAGGCAGGTTGTATTATCTAAATTTCAAAGTGGAGAAACTAGGGCAGGACTTGGTGAAATGCCTTACTGAACCTGCTTTGCCAAGTAGCTTAGGAGCCGACATGTGACCTGGGTCTCCCCCACCTCCTATCATGTCACTTCTCATGCATATTTCTTGCTCCAGTTTAAGAGTCCTCTACCTTGTACATCCCAGGATCTGCTTTAATCATCAGTGGGATCACTCTGGAATCGCAAGCCTTTATTTTCTGCATTTAGCTAAATAAAAATCTGATTTCTGAATCCAACATTATAAAAATATATGCATTAGGTGCAGGGGTTGAATTGTCTTTTAAAGGAATGCACATATTTAGACAGCCAGCAAAATAGAACTTGAGGCAAAAGGCATTTGTTGAACCTCAGTTATTTCCAATACCACAGATATTTAACGCAGAAGGGATTTGAGAGGATTTTTAAAACTTACATATTAAATATATTTTCTATACAAATTAACATTAGCAATAATTATAAACTAATTTACTACCCCCCCAAAACTCCCAATTTTAGAATTTGAACATCACACTTC